GAGAGAGAGAAACATTGATGTGAGAGAGACACATGGATTGGTTGCCTCCCACACATGCCCCAACTGGGGCTGGGGATTGAACCCACAACTCAGGTATGTGCCCTTAACCAGGAATTGAACTGGTGACTCCTCAGTGTAAGGGCGGATGCTCTAACCACTGAACACACTAGCTAGGGCCATTCCTTCCTTCTTGAAACATTTTCTTCACTAAACTTTTAAGGACATTGTTCTTGGGATTTTCTGACCTTGTCAATCACCCCTTCTTGCCTCCCTTGGCGGTTCTTCCCCATCTTCCTGACGTCCAGATGCTGGAGCTCCAGGGCTCAGTCTTTGATATTGTGTCTGCATTCCCTATGGTGACCCAGTCTCATGGCTTTAATTACCATTACTATGCTGATGTCTCCCAACTTAATACCTGCAACCTGGACTTACCCCTTAATGCAAGACATGCACATTAATTGCCCACTTTACAGTCTCCTTGGATTCACATCCCAAATGTAACATATACAAAATAGAACTCTTGATTTCCTTTCCCCCAGATTTGTACTTCACTCTCCCTATCTCTTTGCTTTTCCAGTTACTCAGGTCAAGAACATTGGAATCATTCTTGGTTCTTCATCCAACCACCAGACTCCTATGTGCTTTTCTCTGAGAATAAATCTAGAATCTGACCACTACCACTCTACCACTCTGACCCCGTGATTACTCCAAAATTCTTTAAATGATCTTCCTGATTGTGGAGCTGGAGTAACCAGCAGCTAGAGGAATCCTTCTAGGATATAAGATATGCCCAGGCATCCCTCTACTCAAAACACTCAAAGTAAAATCCACAGTCCCTACCATGGCCCACAAGGCCCTCGTTTCTGACCCCCTTTCCTCTTAAATTTCATCTCCCAAGACCCTCATCATCCTTATTTACTCTGCTCCAGACACACTGATCTATTTGCTCCTCCTAGAACACACGAGAACATACATAGCACCATCACTTGACCCTGCTTTGGGGCCTTTGTACTTGTTCCCTCTGCCTGGAAGCTCATCTCCTGGATAGCTAATGAGTCATCCCTTCACATTTCCTTTTAGTCTCTATTTAAATATCATTATCCAGAAAGACTTTTCCTAACCACCCTAAATATCAAACAAGTCCCTCCATTACTCTTTCTCTCTTATCTTGTTTTATTTTTCACCACTTGACATATAATTGTTTGTTTACTGTCAGTCTCTCTTTCCCTATGAGAAAATGGGCCAAGAATAGTGCCTGGCACATGGCAAGAGTTCTGTAAAAACTTGCCAAATGAACATGTGTCAACTAGAGTATGCACTGGTGTTTCATCAAAGCACTAACTCAAAATATTGAATTTTTCCCTTTTATTTTTCCACAATGGAAAATGAGTTTGACAAACAAACAAACAAACAAAACCTCATTGATACAGAACACAGTATGGTGGTTACCAGAGGGGAAGAGAGGTGGGGAGAAGTTGAAGTGGGTAAAGGCGGTCAAATATATGGTGACAGAAGGAGACTAAACTTTGGATTGTGAGCACACACTACAATATACAGATGATGTATTATAGAATTGTACACTTGAAACATACATAAACTTATTAACCAGTTTCACCCCAATAAATTTAATTTAAAAAATAAGAAGAGTTTGAGAAAGCGTAGAATAGTTGCTTTGAGCTCAGGTATTGCAGTATAATTTTATTACTGTCACTAGAAGTGAATTTGTTCTTAGAGTAGAGTTATGAGTTGACTGATTTTAACTGGTGCAAATGTTAATTTTTTTTATAAAGCCTAATTATTTAACCTAAATAAAATCTAATTCAAAATTGAAACATTAAAGGGTTGACTTCAATAGGACCTTTTGGTGAAGAGTGGTTATATTTAGTTTAAGAAGCAGTTTATTAGTACAAATACTAAATTTTTCTCATAAAAATGTATCACCCATTTTTTTCCAAATGGCACAAAATAATGCATTTGAAAGTGTTTCAAATTTTCAGAAAAAAATGTTTTCTAAAAATATTAGCAAAACAGCTTTCTAGATAATAAATATCATCCTCAAAAGCATTTAATGGATAGTGACATTTTCATATATGCTGTCACACCGAGAATTGGAAGCATTATAGATGTGCTACCTTAAAAATTACAAAGTCAATTGCTGGACAATTCCTTTCTACAGTCATATCTGCTTAGGAGGAAACAAATATTTTTGAGTTCAATAGCAACTATTGGGAGTGACTTTAAATTGTTAAATGAACAGTTTTAAAAACAGACACCCAATGACTTTTCTGAGGATTGACACAGGCCAAATTATATTACAGACTCTAAAACACCATTCAATTCTTTTGTACTATTATTTTGTTGTAGCGGATATGAATCCTATTGAGCAGGATATGACCCGATCTGGGGAATCTTTTTGTTCCGGACATAGTGCTTAGTTTCATGAGACTTAGGCTTCACAAAACAAATGATGTCGCCATTTTCATCAATGGATAATGAAGTGAGAAAAGGGCAATGGTACACACATACTCACATCCACACAAATTGTACACATGCTGTATACTCACACACACCAGAGAAATGAATGTTCATAAATCTTATAGTTGTCAATTTTTCTCTCTTTGGAAGTCTGCTTTATTTCTAAAAATGACTGTGTTTTTCCTAGTTTGTTTTTTTTTAAATACTAAAATGTCCTTTTATATATGAAGTGATGGGAAGTGATGGTGATAGTTGTTGGTAGTTGGTGTTTTAAGATGTTGACAACCTTGCCTTGCCAGGTGGTTCAGTTGGTTGTAGCATTGTTCAGTACACTAAAAGGCTGCAGGTTTGATTCCTGGTCAGGGCACATACCTAGGTTCTGAGTTCGATCCCTAGTTGGGTTACTTATGGGAGGCAACGATCGATGTTCCTCTCTCACATCAATGTTTCTCTCTCTCTCTCTCTCTCTCTCTCTCTCTCCCCATCCACCCCCCACTTCCTCTCTCTCTCAAATAAATTGAAAAAATAAACACATATCCTTGGCTGAGGATTAAAATGCTGACAACCCTATCCAAATCTGTAAAAATAACAATAACAAAAAAAATTTTTTTTGAAACATTACTGGTCCATGAAATCCAAATATCCCAAATGACAACTTTCTAAAATAAACAAACAAAACAAACACTTGACTAGCTTCCTTTATAAGAGAAAGCCAAACTCCTTAGCCTGGCTTCAAAGTCCCCTACATCTGGTCTTGACCTATCCTTCCAGCTTTCCTTATCGTAATGGGAGCAGCCAGGTGATCAGCACCTGCCTGTCCTCACCTGCTTGGCTAAGGTCACTGGAGTACCTTCAGCCTTAGTCCTCCTGGCTCCTAGTTCCTGACCTCACCAGGGGTCATTTAAAGCCCCAGCTCTGTGAGGGATATTCAAAGAACACCTAGGAACTTAAACTCACCGAGTCACTGAGAAAAGCAGGCTCCTGTGCTCTACCCTTAGGGCACATCCATATTCAGTTATTCAAGAGAACACCTCTGACTCCCTAACTGGTTGGCAACACCTCCCCTTCCCAAGAGCTTATTTTCTAAACCCTTTTTGTAAAACCCAGCAAGAAGACTTATTGGAGGCCTACTAAACGCCAAGTAGTTGATACAGAGATACAGAGGCGAGGTCCCCATTCTGGAGGAACTCAGTTAATTAAGGGAGCCACACCTGTAAACACCATATTGCTAAAGAGAGGGGAGAGATTTCAGAGGCATCACAGGTGATCTTCAGAGTCAGGAAAAGACTCTCTCTCCACTAGAGAAATGTTCTTTTCTTTGGAGTAAAGGAACCCTTTGAAATGCAATCATCGCCTTCTCCTCTAGGAAAGCCTGAGAAAGTGAAAAACTGTCCACTGGCCCAAGAGAATGGGGAGAACCTCTCCCTGTGTAGGGAGGGTGGGGAAGGGCAGAGGGGCCCTGACAGTGAACACTGCTGGTCTCACCCCTCCGAGGGGAGCACTTTGGGAAGAGGGGTGATTGGAAGTGTTTTCTCAGAACAGACAACATCCAGGTAAAGAACATCCTAAACCGAAAGAAGCAAGTGTTCCCAGTACCCATTCACTCTATTTTATCCAAAGCCTGCTGCTGCTGCCCATTCAGGATCCTTATCCAGAGATAACCCCACATACTCAATTCGTGGGGAAAAGGAGAGTTTTCTTAGAGAGGCCTGGAGAAACGGAGAAGCAGGAAAAAGAGAAAATCCCGAGTGTTCCATCATCTCCCCCAAAGTTGCTCTTTCCTTGTCATGGAGTCAGTCCACAGGTCAGCACACAGGCGTTAACCATTTAAAACCAGGTTAACCCCACCACATTCATTACATGTCACGGTTTACCTCGAAATTTGGGTTCATCTCCACAGAAATTCCGAGAAGAAGCATCTTTCCATTAGGGGGAAAAAATAGTTTTAGCTTGTAATAAACAACGCCCCCTCCCCCGTTTGAAATCATGGTCTCCCGGGGGTCACGAATAAACATTTCAAAAGTGATCATTCCACTTTTTTGATAAGAATCCTTCTTCTCAAGGCAGGACAACATGATACTCAGCAGTAGATAAAAGTGAGGTGTAAAGAGAACCTGTCAATTTGGAAACAGCTTCCTGACAATTTGGAAACAGGTGAATGATTAATTCTCTTCATGCACTAAGACCCTCAACAGAAGTCAGCCTGGGAGTGTAAAAGCCATGAATGCTAACAATGTGATAAGATCTCGTACTCTCAATCACAGCTGATGGCCCTTGAAGGACCAGCTCTATAGGTGACATGGGAGAGAAGCTACTGGGAAGGAAATAAAATACCCCCCAGCGTCTCTGAAGTGAGTACCACCTTGCCCACCTCTGCTTTCTAGCTCCTTATATAACTGGTGCCTTGTGCACAGACGTCCCATTTGTGTCAAAAGACCATGAAGGAAGGAGATGTAACCACATCTCAAGGTCTCCGATTTTTTTTTTTTTTTATCCCTGAAAATTCACTTGAAAGAACCCATTACCTTGAGCATGCGGATTTCGCGAAGGGCGATTTTCTTGATGACCGGGTCATCTTCTGATTCCAGAAACCTCTTGATGGCCACAACCTGGCCGGTGTCCCTGCTTCTGCATTTGAAAACAACGCCGTAGGATCCTTCACCAATTTTCCCAATTTTTTCATACTTCTCCATCACAGAGGAATGAACCTTCTTAAAGTGGGTCTTCACATAGTTCGCAAGTGTCGCTTAAAGAAGACTGGCGCCCACGGACTGCCCGGGGCCCCCTCCGGACGCGCCTGTGCGGGACCTGGAGGAACAAGGCACCTGTTGGAAGTTAGGACCTGACGGCTTTGAAGCCGCGCCCCTCGGCAGTGGCCACGTGCCCGAAGGACAGCCCGGGGTCGGGTAACCCACTCTTCTCTGACATATGCCCTGCGAGTGACAATGGAACCCCGCACCCTAAAACGAGCCGAGTTGTAAGAGAATCTATCTTTTTCGTGTTATAGTTCATCCGATCTAAGACACACGAGCTGGCTAAGGGCTTCCCCGGTTCTAATTTCGGGTCTGATTTCCCTGCAGCAAGAAGACACCTCCCGGCTCCTGGCGGGGGCGGCGGCGAGGCCGGGAGGAGGGGAGACCCGCCGGGAGGGGCGCGGGCCTGGAGCTCCGGAACCGAGGGCCACGCCGACCCGCCGCGCGCGGGGCCCCCGCTGCCGACCCGCGGTCGCAGGAAGATGCTCTGCCCGCCCTCCCGCGCCTCAAGCGGCGCCACGTGGTGGCCAGGCCCGCCCGGCCCGGTCCGGCCCGCTCCTCCTTCCCGACCCGGCCCGCTCCTCCTTCCGACCCTGACTCACGCTCTGCGGCTGCCGGGCCTGGCCCTGCTCCCACCTCGCGACTGCAGCCCGGCTCTGCTCCCGGCGGGTCCCTATGGGAACTGGTCCCCGCCCCCGGCTGGCCTGGGCGGGGCCTCGGCGTCTGGCTTCCCTGCTGCACCCGCCGAGGTCCCTGCAGCCGAGAAGGCCCTGGTGGGTGGTCCTCGGGCCCCTGAAGGAGCTGCCCCCACCGTGGGCCCGGGGCCCTGCACTTACGTCCCTCTGCCGGCGAGAAGGCCTGCAAGGTTGCAAACTCCGGCTGGAGGGGAAATGCAGCCGGAGCAGAGTCTGCGGGAAGACGCCTGCGCTAGGAGTCCTCCCCCCAGCCTCCACCCCCCAGCCCCCTTCATGCATCAAGGGCTTAGCGGTGACCACACCGAGTAACAACTGATTACTCCCCAGTATTTTCTGCTAAACTGTGAACGCCTTGAGGGCAGCTTCTGCGCCTGTCCTGACCAGTGGCATAGCATCCAGTCAGTGAATGAATGAATGAATGAATGAAAAACAGGGAGAGAAAGGCAAAGAAGAAGAAGATTTGGCCAAAATTGGTTAAAGTCAGCGCTTCACTCCACCGGATTGGAGAGGGAGGGTGCTCCTTGGCTACTGACTTCCACTGCAGCCAGGCTTCTGACGTGGGAGATGGAGGTTACAGAGCCTGCCTCGCTTGAGGTTCCTTATTCCCAACTGGCTCCTGCTTGCTCCGGTTTGAGCACAGAGGAGGGAAGTCGTAAACCTGGGGAAGTCGTGAAATAATTTGCCACCCGGCACACCGCCTCAATACTGGGTCATCTATCCTGTTTCATCTGCCCAGCACTGAGGTGGGTGTTTGCCCTGGAGGTAATACCCGAGGAGAGAGAATTAACATACTGTCTACAAAACAGAGACCAGGCCCGTGCCAAGCAGCTGCCAGTAACTGTAAATCAGGGCAGGGTCAGGTGGGAGCAGGAGCTGGGAGGAGAGGGATGGGTGGCTGCCTTGACAACCGAGTAGCATAGATGGTCCAGGGTGGACTGGAGTTCATCTGCGAACCTCCCAGGAATTGTTTGCGAACAGCAACCACTGATGTGTTTTCTGTCTCTCCCGTTTTGCCTTCTCCTGAATGTCATGTCAATGGAATGATACATTATGTAGCCATTTGAGCTAGTCTTCTTTCACTTATCATAAATAATTTGAGATTCACCCATTTTGTTCCATTTGTCAGTTTATTCCTGTTTATTACTGAGTAGTGTTCCATTGTATGGGTGTACCATAGCTTGTTCATCCATCCCCACTTGAAGAACATTTCAGCTGTTTCCAGTTTGGGTGATTATAAGCCAAGCCACTGTAAACACTCATGCATGGTCCATTGTGGGAACATATGTTTTCATTTCTCTTGGGAAAATAATACTTAGGAGGAGTCCTGCTGGGTCATATGATAAGTATATGTTATTGACGTAACTGCCAAAATGTTTTCCAAAGAGACTGTACCATTTTACCTTCCTGCCAGCAACATTCCAGTTACTCTGCCTCTTTGCCAGCACTTATATGCCAGATCTCTTTATTTCAACCATGTTAACGTGTGGGCAATGGCCTGTTGTGGCTTTATTTGGAATTCTCTAATGACTAACGTTGGGCAGTCTTTCATATGCTTATCTGTCATCTGGATGTTTTCTCACTGATCTATCTAAAAGCCCTAGGAAGTTTTAGTAAATTCCTTGGGATTTTCTATGAGGACAATGTCATCTGCAAATAGGGACCATTTTGGTTCTTCCCAACTGGAATGCCGTTTCTCTCTTTTTCTTGCCTTATTGCCCTTGGCAGGTCCTCCAGTGGGAACTCAAATAGGAGCAGTGAGAGCAGATATCCTTATACCGATCTTAGGAGGGAATCATTCATTCTTGCACCACTAGGTATGATGCTAGATTTCTTTGTAGATGCTGTGGCAGACGGCCTCTAAGATGGCCCTTAATGACCTTGCTTCTTGGTATTCATGCCCTTGGGTGCTCCTCTCCCTTTCAGTATAGACTTGACCTAGTGACTTGCTTCTAAGGAACGGAATATGTCAAAAGTAATGTAATATCACTTCTGAGGTTAGGTTACGAAGAGACTGTGACTTCCACCTTGGGTGCCCCCTTGGGCTCTCATTTCCTTGCTCTGAGGGAATACAGAGGCCATGTTGCGAGCTGCCTTATGGCCAGGAACCGAGGAAGCCAACAGCCAGGAAGAACTTAGCACTAGTCTAATATTCTGTGAGGAAATGAGTCCTCCCAACAACCATGTGAGTGAGCTTGGAAGCAGATCTCCCCCTGCCCACACCCCATTCCAGAGAGATTTCAGATAGACTTCGCCCCAGCTGACAAACACAAGTTCAGTCTCCTGGGAGGCCCTGAGCCAGAGGCACCTCCAGAAACGGTGAGAGGACAAATGTTTGATATTTATGCTTTGGGGTTATTTGTTATGCAGCAAATAGAACTAATCCAGAAGCCCTTTATTAGATTGGGAAACTTCTCTTTAATTCCAGTTTGCTGAGAGGTGTTTTTTAAATAATGAATTGATGTTGAGTTTTGTCAAATGCGTTTCTACATCTATTGAGATGATTGTATGATTTTTCTTCTTTATATTATATAATTTTCCTTAGTCTGTTGATATAGTGAATTATATTGATTGATTTATATGTATATATTTTAAAATGTTTTTATTGATTTCAGAAGGAGGAAGGGAGATAGAGAGAGGGATAGAAACATCAATGATGAGAGAGAATCATTGACCGGCTGCATTCTGCACACCACCTACTGGGGATCAAGCCTGCAACCCAGGCATATGCCCTGATGAGGAATTGAACCGTGATCTCCTGGTTCATGGGTCGACGCTCAACCACTGAGCTACACTGGATGGGCTGTTTGATTGATTTTTTAAAAACTTTATTGTTTTTGTTTTTTTTTTTCGCTAAAAGTATTACAAAGGGTATTACATAAGTGTCCTTTTTTCCCCCCCACCCTTGACAAGCCCCTGCCCTCCCTTACCCCCCAGTGTCTTATGTCCATTAGTTATGGTTATATGGATGCATATAAGTCCTTCGGTTGATCTCTTACTCCCCTCCCTCCTGTCCCCCAACCCTCCCTGGCCTTCCCACTGCAGTCCGACAATCGGTTTGAGGCAGCTCTGCCACTGTATTTATTATTGTTCAAAAGTTTGTAATGGTCTTAATTATCCATGAAAGAGTGAGATCATGTGGTATTTTTCCTTCATTGACTGGCTTGTTTCACTTAGCATAATGCTCTCCAGTTCCATCCATGCTGTTGCAAATGGTAAGAGTTCCTTCTTTTTTACAGCAGCATAGTATTCCATCGTGTAGATGTACCACAGTAAAAACTTTATTGTTAAAATTATTACAAATGTCCCCTTTTTCCTCCTGTTGACCCCCTCCCCACTCCTGTCATGATCTCACTAATATATCTATTGATTTTTTTTTGTTTGAAAAAGGTTTATTTAATTAACAAAATTTTTTTCCATAAATATTTGCAGTAGTATTTATCTATTGATTTTTAAATGTTGAACTAACCTTGCATTCTGGGATAAAACCAACTTGGTTATGATATTCTATTATTTTGATACATTGCTGGAGTTGATTAGTAATGCTTTACTGAGGATTTTTGCGTTAATGTTACTAAGATATATTGATCCATAGTCTTCTTGTAATGTCTTTGTCTAGTTTTGGTATCAGAGTAATGCTGATCTCATAAAATGAGTTAGAAAGTGTTTTCCTCTCTAATATTTTCTGGAGATGTTTATATTAAATTGGTATTATTTATTTCTTAGATATTTGGTAGAATTTGCCAGCAAAGCAATCTGAGCCTGGAGTTTTCATTGTTGAAATACTTTAAATTACAAATTCTGTTTCTTTAATAAAATATAGAACTATTCAGTATATCTGGTTCTTCTTGAGTGAGCTTTGATAGTTTGTGTCTTTCAAGGAATTTGCCTATTTTATCTAGATATTTGAATTTATGAGCACAAAGTTGTCTATATATAACAATTTTACATTATTTTTTTAATGTTATTCACATGTAATAATATTACATTATTATCCTCTTAATGTCTATAGTAGTGTTTCCTATGTCATTCTTGATATTAGTAATATTTTCCCTCCTTTTCCCTGATCAGTTTGACTAAGGCTTATCAATTTTATTGACCTTTAAAAGAAACAGCTTTTGATTTTATTGATTTCATCTATGTTTTTTTCTGTTTTTCAATTTTGTTGATTTCATCTCTTTAATATTTTCTTTCTTCTGCTTGCTTTGTTTTTGCCTGCTTTTTCTAGTTTTTTTTAAAGATGGAAGCTTATGCCATTAATTCTAGGTCTTTTCTTCTTTTCTAATATAAGCCTTTAATGCAGTGATGGCGAACCTTTTGAGCTCGGCGTGCCAGCATTTTGAAAAACCCTAACTTAACTCTGGTGCTGTGTCACATATAGAAATTTTTTGATATTTGCAACCATAGTAAAACAAAGACTTATACTGTTGATATTTATTTTATATATTTAAATGCCATTTAACAAAGAAAAATCAACCAAAAAAATGAGTTCGCATGTCACCTCTGACATGCGTGTCATAGGTTCGCCATCACTGCTTTAATACCACAAAATTTCCTGTAAGCACCACTGTAAATGAATCCCCAAAATATTGATGTTGCATTTTCATTCACCTCAAACATTTTTATTGTTTTTTAATTTATTGATTTCAGA